ATTGCAGGAAAAATTTCTGAAATCGCTTTCTGGCTGTTCACACAGTGAATGAATTTCTGGCAATCTCTCTCGATACTACTAAAATGCAACCATGGGCGGAGAGGTTGTCGTTTTTTTGCTATTTCTCTTGTAAAAGCGAGAACGAAAACACGAAAAATGTATACTCGACGTAAGCTGCTGTTGAAAGAGAAAGCAATTTTATTAAAAACTAGCTTTTACCCGCGGGTTGTACCCCACGTCTTTATACAAATATGAAAAATACTTTACTCTGCTCCAATTTTGCTATAGCCGTGATAGCAGCATAAGGTAGGACAGCTGTATAGCTTGAGTGTTATGGAATGAAATGCAATAATAATCTTTTGGTGCTGCAGGTGTTTTTATTTAGGTTAAAATATCTCCAATAAATTATATAATAGAAGAAATACTATCTAATTTTTTACGAATAATAACTCTAATATAATTTCACAGCATTTTTTTAATACTTCAAAGTATCTATTAACATAAGTGCATTTTCGAATACAATTATCATACATTTTATTTTCGATAAAGTTTCTTTAAGGCATTTATTGCCATTACAAATGCTAAGCGAACTGGAAACTGATCGGCACCTACCATTGATATGTTTGCATACCAAATTTCAATTTTACGACTGAGGGTCAAAACATAGTGGAGCGGCGAGCAAAGCGAAGAGCTAGCATCGAGCAAAGCTTCAATTACAAATGTGTATGTAAGCTTTGCTCTTCACTATGCGCTTTCCCATTGAAACATATGCGTTTGAAATCGACGCTTTGTTCGATGCTCTTTGCTCGCCGCTCCACTATGTTCTTACCCTTATGCTTCCGAAGTTATGGCTGATTAAAAATTCTACGAGTACGAGATATGCTACAAGCATCTACCATAGATTTGTCTGCATACCAAATTTCAAGTTCATGTGACTTATGGTTCCGAAGTTATAGCTGATTAAAAATTTTGCAGGCCTATGGGAGGTGCCACGCCACTCGCAAAATTGACACCATATTTGCAAACAAACCCATACCTATAATATTCCCGGGGTAAAAACAAATAAGTGTGCAAAGTTTCGGGCGATTCCGAGAAGTGGTTCAAAAGTTAAATGTTAATAAACAAACAGACATTCACATATATATATATAGATTATTATTAAAAAAATAGAAGTGGATGATTCGCGTACACGCCGGTCTGTTTGGGTAAGAAAATTTTGGGAGCGAGGAACAAACACCCATACTACACAACGTTGATGAACGATCATTACCCCATGGTGAAATTATAAATAGCTGGGTACTCATATAATTCAAGCCAGCACCAACAATGCTCGCAATCCCGTACTCAATCAAAACAACATAAACCCAAAAATAAGTAAAAAAAAAACTTTTTAATATACAACGCTTTTATAAATGAACTAAAAAGTAGAAAATAATATTTCTCAGTCCCACAGAATTTGTTTTGATA